GATAGATAGATAGATAGATAGATAGATAGATAGATAGATAGATAGATAGATAGATGGATAGATAGATAGATAGATAGATAGACTGTGTGTATGAATGAAAAGGGGGGGGGTGTTGGTGTTGAATGTTGGACGTTGAGGGCGATAACGACAATTTACATAATTTCAATCACTGCTGGTTACTATAGAATACAGCTTCAGTACAACATATTATTGTTACTATCCCCAGGGGTAGCGTTGGAGCAAACACGGGATCTACTTTGAATCCGTTGTCTTTGGGTTGTTTTTTCAAGAATTGATTACTTGCACAATATTCTTAGAACATGGTTCCTATCGCGATGCGTAATTCCCTGGAACTAATTCATTTATAATTATCTACATGTCCTTTGAGTACAGGGCACTTGTAATAACGGGAAAAAATGAAAATTTCAAATAGAGATTACCAACCCCCTCGCCCCCACCTTCCCCAAACCACTCCCCACCAAGGGGAAAAACTAGGAAGTTTTAAGGATTGTGAAATGAAATGATAGACTCATTGCACAATGGAAGACTTGCAACCCTTCCAGTAATGGAAACGCATCAATGCTCACGTGTGTGTGATACTTTCCTTTGGAGTATCGCCTTAAAAGTTGTTTTGTTTGAGGTGTTGTTGTTGTTTGTTTTTTTTGTTGCTGTTTTCTTTCTTTTGTTGTTGTTGTTGTTTTTTTGTTTTTGTTGTTGTTGTTGTGTTGTTGTTGTTTTTTTGGGGGGGCTTGTTTTGTTTGGTTTGGTTTGGGAGGGGGGTCGTTCTTTCTTATTACCTCAAAAATAATTATTTGGCTTTTTGTGTTCTTTGAATATGTCTATAAACTGAATCTGTAAGGTAAGCAACAACAACAAAAAAGCTGCAGTTTTATTTCTTATTTTCTAATCAGTAAAATTAAGCTGTAGAATTATTTTTAAGGCTCTTTGGGGAATTGCACGCAGGAGTGTTGTAATACGCGCATTTCAAAGTGTTTTCAGATTCAAATAATAACCTAATGTTGCAACCCTGAAGTCGTCTGCTTCAGTGAGTCATGATTTAAGCAACTCTTTCACATGTTGCGATGGAACCTTTGATTTTTTTTTGTGTTATCACAGTGGAACATCTCTATTTTCCTTTCCTTTTTGTCCCCCTTCTTTTTTACTCATACTCGTTAGAGGACATTCGTTCTTGTAAAGGACCTATTTGTAACACGCAACAAGGAAAATGCATCCTGAGAAGGGCTTGGATGAGAGGGCTGAAACGGTGGAAAGGGGGAGGGGG